TTAAAATTGGTAAAGACAGGTTTGAATCCCAGTATATAGATATTAATTGGTACAAATCATTGCACTCCACCCCTCACCGGTATCTGGAGGCAGGTTGGTAACGGTTGAGTTATACCGCCCAGTACCTTTTCGGTCTCGGGTGCTTTGCCATTCCCCTTCTACTCCTTGAAGTTATGTGATTTTGCATGATTATGGGCTTTGAGGAAGCACCTTTGGTGCCAGGGCTTTTATAGGGCCCCCTTACTGGTCAGGACATCAGCATAGCCTCCCCTTATGCCAGTGACCCTTCCTTGCTAGATGTGAGAATGCCAGAGCTGGGGTATGGTCAGTACCTCCTACCATACATTCTCCATGACAGGGAGACTTTAGCTCCTCCCAGTGGAGGGTAGGACAAAGAGCGTGGTGTACCTATAGGGCATAAGGGCTAAGCCCACGTATGTTCTTATGAAGGGATGTTTCTGATCCCTCCCTCTTTGTCTTGGATTGGTGAATGCTACATTTAAATTGGAGCCCAAGTTGGTTTTTAGCCCCAGACAAAGGTGCATTGTTTGGCAACGAAACGCGTGTCAGGAATTTGGTCTGTTAACCTTTATTCACATTTATTTGAGCACATTATGTGTTTCATTTTGTGAGTTTCTTGTACCTTATGGGAGCTACTTTGGGATACTGGGGGCACTGTTTAGCATATCAGATTAGTACACATATTGCATGAGTTGCTTAATTATTGCATTAGTACAGATACCATCTAAATGATTAACTGATTTGAGGCTAATGAGCGTTTTCTTGTTCTGTGGCAAGAGCAATCCTTGCTCTTTGACACTGACTCCTACACACAGCACTCTAAACGAGTGGTGTTTTTTGTAATGTGAAAGGTTGATTTCCTACAGCAGCGGTTCCTAGAGCATTCAGTGCCCCTGGGAGTACGTGAAAAAATGTGGGTAATGGCAGCGGTACCGGCCACCGCACGGGCTGGGAATCGCTGGCTGAGTCTATCGGGTGGCCCATGCACTTTTGACACTGTGAAGGGTGTTGTGTGTGTGTGTTGGGAGGTGGGGGGCTGTGTGTGAGGGGTGTTG